ATGATGCACGAATGTAAAATTTAATATGAATTTTATATTGTCTGTTACGGATTCAATATTCTGAGATTCTAGTGATAAAAAGTGCAAGAAAGTATTTTAGTATTTAACATTATTGTATCATACTATTATAAATACGAAAGTTTAGATAGATGTTTGTTAGAGTTTGTAGCCTAAACGCCTAATTGGATTTGGATGAAATTTGGTACAGATATAGAGAATAGTCTAGAAGAAGGCTTATTTTTTTCTTATTCCACGCGGACGGAGTCGCAGCGAAAACTATTTTTTAATAAATCTGACTTCTATAATTACCTGTGTGGACCTTGTCAGGAAATAGGAAGCAAAAATTGCACTCCAATGTAAATTTGATCGCAACTTTTTGACTATTATAATATCGTTAAGACAGTTTAATAGAGGTTTCTCTATGTTTAAGTTATTATTAAATTATATTAATCGTATTTGTTTTTATTTTAAAACAAAATATCTTCCATTTTTAAAACTGTGTTTAAGGTATAATATCTGAACCAGTATTAGTTAAGCCAATTTTAACTTTATATAATATTTATGGGAAATATATAAATAGATGCATTAGCGTGTGTCAGAGTGTGTCATAGGGTGGCATCAACATTAGGTTCCGACAGATTTTAGAATTCACTTCCGCAGCATTGTATACAGGACGATTTTTATTTCACACTTAGGAAGTATTAAAAATACAAAATAGATTTTGAAACGTTTTTAAATGGAATTCAGATTGAAATTAATTGAAATCTAAAAAATCCAATACTTTAAAATTTAAAGATACTTTAACTCATTAAGATAAAGTTTGGAATTAACATTAAATAAAGGACTAGACTGATTACAAATGATAAGATAATAAAAATAAATGAAAAATATAAATAACTTTATTGATTTCCTCATTAGCAGGGACTGGTGTCCAAACTAGAGTGGCCCCCTGTGTGATCACCAAACCCAGATAATACAATTCAATATATAACTACTAATGCTTTTAACAAAAACTGATATTACAAAATTTAATTAAACTCGGTTCTGTTGTTCTAATATAAAAGGTTACGTTATCAAACACTTACCGGAATATTTTCACCAACCAAAACACTTTCACACCTCCAATAAAATAGAAACTGTAAATCACGTCAAAGGTAACAAGATATAATAAAATATGAATATCAAATCACTAGAAAAACGTAAGCAAAATATAAATCTATCATCACGATACATTACAATCCATTACACCGCACCACAAAATATAGTGCGTTTATTTTTACAACACGCTGTATAAATGCACTTAAGAGTTGGACGTAAATTTGTCTGATCAAAGAGTTTCGGTTCGATTCCCGTCATTACTTCTGAGGACTTAATTGACGCGGTCTAAGTGGGGTGTGCAGAGATGAGACATTTTTCAATTTTACAACTCGCCCCTTGATGCTATTTTATTGTCGATTTTTGAACTGGGCTTGTATTAATGTTCATTTAAAAATCTTACTTATGTTATAAATGCGTAAGTTTATATGGATGTTTGTTAGAGTTTGTAGCCTCTGCTGATCGAATCTCGATTTTTGTCATAGATGTACAGGTTAGTTTGGAAGAACAAATACGCCACTTACTTTGTTTAATGTCACGCGATCGGACTCGCGGGCGAAAGCTAGTTATTATGTTTCTAGTCTTGTATTGGATTTCCTCTTTTTAGATATAAGGAAATAGTTAAAATGTTCCAGTAAAACTTTTGTAAATTTCGCCGTAACAAATAATTGAATTCTGGCAATTCACATAAATATTAAACATTTGCCAAACGTGACAAATTAAAACAAATAAATTCAGCAAATTATGTTTTGTAGAAAAACCCCTTAATTATATTCAAACGTCAAATAGAAATTGCACCATCAAATCTAATTTTTATTGCTTACATTTCGTAACACGTTGAAAAGCGCATTAATATGAAAAAATAACTGTTTTTTATTATTAAAATTGTAGTAATTAATTGATATTGTTTCAGTTTAAATATTTTAATATGTACAGGATGTTTATTATAATTGAAAACATATTTTTATTGCCAATTTCCGTAATCGATTACTTTCGCAACATTAAAATAAATTTTAATTTAACGATATTACAGCCAGTCGATAGTTTAGTGAAAACTGACCTTAACTTCAATTAGGCATCAAAAGAAAATTTCGTATGAAATATATCGCACGTCCAACTTTAATATCTTAATGCATCGTTTTTATATTTGAAAAATTATTCTCACCGACGCCATCTTGAAATGTTTGCGTTTAAATTACAACGCTATTATACGCTGAGTTATTTCGACAGAATTTTACAGATTTTAATATAACGCAGTATTACAATTAAATGTTACTAGCTTTCGCCCGCGACTCCGTCTCCGAATTAAAAACAAAAGTAGCCTGTGTATTCCAGACTATGCTCTACATCTATGCCAACATCAAGATCCGTTTAGGCGTTTAGTCTACAAACTCTAACAAATATCCATCCATATATACTTTCGTATTTATAATATTACTAAGATTAAGATGATATATCGTAATATCATTTTAAACTTTAGTATTATTTATTGTGTTAGATTTTTTTTGTGCAAACTTAAATTTTTGCCATTGTATGGAATATGGGGAGGGGGAGGGGGCAGCGGGGAGGGAGGTGATGGGGAGGGGAGGGGGCAGCAGAGGGGGAGGGGGATATAGGTATATTCATAAATCAAACAAACAAAAATGTTACACAATCATTTATTTTCTTGCTTACACAAAAATACACAATGATAGTTACACGCGAAAGTTAATAAACGCTAACGAAATAATCACAGTTAAAACACTCGGCGACATCGCCGTGTTGCGAATAACTTAAAACAAATATATGCGGTAGTTAAATAAATAATAATCACAGTTTTAGTAACGGAAATTAGTCATACAACCGACGAAAGTCCCTACCTATGAAGCATACGTTAAAGTGACGCAAATTCCTTTAATTATTCATTGTTAAAACTTTTTCACGTCAAATTTTCCATTTCCCACATTTATCACAGCATCCATATAATTTAATATTTAAATTACATTAACTGTCCCACCAAATTGTATATTATCTGATAATAATCGAACATGTAAAATATGTGATGGAAATATCGGATTTTGTTACCTTATCTGACAGTGACGTCAAGCTATCTGAGCCTCTATCAGCCAGTGGTGGGACAGGCCCTAAGCCCTCTATCAGCCAATAGCGGG